CGGATTACACAGGCGGTGCCCGGGAACGTAGACGTGAGCAGGGATGAACGCAGCTACAATGAATGTGAACACCAAGGTGTCAGATCTCAACTGCACACCCGGCCGCCAGTGTGTGCGGGGAGAGGGAAGGCGAATGAGAGCCAGGAGCCCAGGCGGAGAGGGAGGCAGCTGCCAGAGGAGAAGGAGGCCCGCAGGGAATGGGCGGAGGAGGCATAATTTCTCAGGAAGGCGCAGTCACCTTGGGCAAGGTGGCTCCCGAAATTGGAAGAAATGCAACCATGTTGGGCCCCACCTAGTTCAGGGAAACACCAGACACTCTACAGGTCAGGAGGGACCGGTAGAGGACCAGGGGCTTTCCTAGGGTTTCACTGTCATGTGGGGTGTCCACAGACACCAGGTAGATCAGGACTGTGCCTAAAAGAATAAGTTTCCTGGCTGGTAAGGTCTCTCATCCAAGTACTAAACAGGCCCGGCCCTGCTTAGCTTCTGAGATCAGATGCAATCGGGTGCGTTCAGGGTGGTATGGCCATAGACCAGCTGGTAAGGTATTTAATCCTCTAGTACTCTGGCCCCCTGATGCAAAGAGCCAACTCACTGGAAAAGACCCTGATGCTGGGAAAGATTGAGGGCAGGAGGAGAAGGGGATGACAGAGGATGAGATGGCTAGACGGCATCATTAACACAATGGACATGAGTTTGAGTAAACTCCAGGAGATGGTGAAGGACAGGGAAGCCTGGCATGCTGCAGTCCATGGGGCCACAAAGTTGGACATGACTTAGAGACTAAACAAAAACAAGGTGTCTAAAAACTCTTGCAGGGAATCAGGCCTCAGGGATGCATGCACCATCATTTCCACTTACTGGCTGATAACCTTGAACAAGGGCTCCCCTGGTGGCTCAGTGGTAAAGAATCTGCCTGGTAATGCAGGAGACATGGGTTCAGTCCCTTGGTCAGGAAGATCCCTTGGAAAGAGAAATGGCAACCTACTCCAGTATTCTTGCCTGGGAAATCCCATGGACAGAGGAGTCTGGTGGGTTACAGTCCATGGGTGTGGCAAAGAGTCAGACATAACTTAGCAATTAAACAACAACAACAACCTTGAAGAGGACATCTAACCTCCAAGAGCCCCAATTTATTAGAATGTAGCACTTCACAGTAATCTCCTTCACAAGAGACCTTATACTCAACAGCGCCTCCATTGTAACCTCTCTTGTGAATTCCATTGGGTCACATCACCCTGCCTTGTAAAGATGTCTGTAGGTATTTGGCTCCCAGCTAAACCAAGGAAACCACCAGGGCAACAAGCCATCACATCTGATTCCTCTTGTTTATTCTCAGTGGCATGCTATCTAGTATACACTGACTGCTCAAAAAAGTTGGCTGAATAAATGTTATTAGTATGCAAAGGGAAATATCTTGAGAAGACCACTGTGTGTTTCATAGCAGTTAGATCTAAGGAAGCTTTTTCGAAATGTGAACTGTTACTAAAATATTCTACTCTGATTCTAACCTTCTGTCCAATTCCAAGTTTTGTCACATGATATTTGCACTCCTTGAGAACACAACTCATATCTAAATCACTTAGTTCAGTGTAAGCTCCACGTGGGCCAGGACTTGGTTTTGTTCAAAGCTGGACCCTCAGTCCCTAAAACAGCCTGGTGTTTGTGAAGTGAAGTGAAAGTCGCTCAGTCATGTCTGACTCTTTGTGACCCCATGAACTATACATTCCATGGAATTCTCTAGGCCAGAATACTGGAGTGGGTAGCTTTTCCCTTCTCCAGGGGATCTTCACAACCCAGGGATTGAACTCAGGTCTCCCGAATTGCAGGTGGATTCTTTACCAGCTGAGCTACAAGGGAAGCCCAAGAAAACTGGAGTGGGTAGACTATCCCTTCTCCAGCAGATCTTCCCCATCCAGGAATCGAACCAGGGTCTCCTGCATTGCAGGTGGATTCTTTACCAACTGAATTATCAGGGAAGCCTGGTGTCTATTAAGCCTCAATAAAGATTTGGTAAATGAATGAGTGGTTTCTGACCCTCAACACAATGCTATGCATTCCGCAATTTTTTGTTGAATGGATAAACTATTAAACAAGGGAAATTCTATTTCTTTAAAATGTCCCTTTCTAGCATTCTCAACAGAGGCAGTACAGCAAGGTGGGTAGGTAGGCAAGCCTGGGAGTCATGTGGTCTGGGTTTGAATCCTTGCTCTTCTACTTAGCAGCTGGGTGACCTAGAGTGAGCTACAGAACCTCTCTGTTTCAGTTTTCTCACCTGTAAAATGAGGATAATAATAATTTTTTCTAATAGGATTACATGAGAGCATTTGAATGATATATGTTTTGCACAGTGCCTGGCATATAGTAATTACTGCAATTTTGTATGACCATATTAGTCTCATAATAACCTCCAATGGCTCCCCTAGCTATAAAATAAGATCTAAAGTCAAGGTCCCCACAATTTGGTACCAAGGCCTGTCTCTTTCCAGTCTCATCTTCCCACGCTAACTACCCTTTACTGGCTGCTACGCTGTGCCAGACACTCCACTAAATGGTGAGTATCCATTAGCTAGATTTCCTTCTCATACAGTCCTGTTAGGTAGGACCTATTATTGCCCATATGCCACTGATGGGACCAAGGCTCAGAAAGGAGAAGTAACTTCCTCAGGGACACACAGCTTATACCAGGAAAGTGGGATTCCATTCCAGGACTCTTTGACATGAAAGTTTGCACTCTTCTTCACTGACTTCTGATATCTTTCCTATGCCAAACGACGTCTATGGACCACCGTTGTGAACATTACCTGGGAGCTTCCTAGAAATGTAGACTCTCAGGTCTCATCTCAGACCAACTGAATCAGAACCTGCATTTCAGCAAGATACTCCCCACCCCTACCCGGGTGACTACTGTGCACAATAAAGTTTTAGAAGTGTTGTTGTAAACTACTTTCTATCGTCAGTCACAAGTGCTAATTAAAGCAAATATGTGATCTTATTTAGTCCCTAAAACAATCTGGGAGGTCACAGGAGTCAGCATTGTTATCCCACTTTGCAGAAGGGGACACTTCAGGCTCTGAGGGTTAAGTATCTTAGCCTGAACCCAAATGCACCTTATGCCAGCATGATGCTCTGACCTCATCCAATCCCAGCTCCCTCTCCCTAAAATGTCTTCACTCCCCTTCTCACCCTTGACTTCTTCTCTTCCTTTTAGGCTCCACTCAAAACCCCTTGCTGCTGGCTAAAAGCCTTCTTACCTACACTCCATTGGGCAGATTAATTTCTTGATCCCTAAAAGTCCCCACAGCTTCCCACACCCTTTCTTTTGACCCTAATCTCATTCTTTTAAAAGAAATACGTACTGAGCACCTACTCTGTGCACATAGTAAGCATTGAGTAAATGTTTGCTCCCAGTGCACTGCTGACTCAGTTTACTAAAAGCACTTTCATCACACCTGTGTCATCTTCCTGTGTGTTTTTCTGTTCCTCCCACTGCTCTGAGCTCCTCTGTCCCCAGGGCAGAGAGTTTGGCATCTTGTAGGGCTTCAAGTTATTAGAAAACAAACTAAATGCTCTCCCATCTAAAGGTGAAATTTGTCTATACTTCAGTGTTCCTAGGAGTGGGACCTTCAAATTTCCAAGAGTAGCCCCGAGGACACAGGTGAGATGATGGACACATCTCTGCTCACCATTCTTGACCTTATACAGCATGCTAGAATTGACTAGCCACAAAATTTGCATATATTGAAAATATAACCCTCATTTTTCCAGGCTATCAAAAGGGAGACACAGAAATATTAGGCAAGCTTTTCAAAATCCCCAGGGTTAAAACCATGGCCCCAGTAACCTTCTGTCATTTCACTAGAGAAGAAGAAAGGGCAAAGGTGGCTGTGATGTAGGGCAAAGAGAACACAGAGAACAAAATATTCCCCATGTGCTGCTTCTACTTTTCAGGGAGATCTGGGCAAACCACAGGTTTTCAGTCCTCAAATTTCCTCATCTGTCAAATGAGGAGGTTGAATTAGTTTCTAAAGCTGCTTCCAGCGCTAAAATGCTTTGCTATAAAATGAGAGAACCATGAACCTTTGGTTGCTATGATCTGAAAATATTTTGAACGTGGAAAATCAAATTGTACAGCAGTGCATGAACAAAATAATATGTTAATGACTAAGAAGATTATACTTCATCCAGTGGGAAACAGCAGAACTGCTGCTGGTGGTGGTGATGTGTGTGTGTGAGTGTGCATGTATGTGTGTGTCTCTTCCTTCCTTGAGCTCAAACATATATTTTAAATCACTAATATAGTAATCAAGCCTCTGGCTGCCTATCTTGACCAACACACACACACACAGACACACACACGCTCAGACACCACTTCAAAATAAAATGAGAAAGCTCCACCGCTGGTGCTTACATCCTTGCTGTACTTGGGTGGCTTTTTTCTTTTTTAAGAAATTTTTGTACTTGTGAAGGTGTTGGACTGACAGCCGTTCAGTTCAGTTCAGTCTCTCAGTCCTGTCCGACTCTTTTCCACCCCATGGACTGCTGCACGGCCAGGCTTCCCTGTCCATCACCAATTCCCGGAGTATGCTCAAACTCATGTCCATCCTGATGGTGATGCCATCCAACCATCTCATCCTCTGTCGTCCCCTTCTCCCACCTTCAATCTTTCCCAGCATCAGTGTCTGTTCCAATGAGTTGGTTCTTCACATCAGGTGGCCAAAGTATTGGTTGGAGTTTCAGCTTCGGCATCAGTCCTTCCAGTGAATATTCAGCCCCTGGAGGCCTCTGCTCTCAGAACTGGGACACATGCGTGGGGGGAGCTAAGGGTTTTATTAGCATTTGGCTTTTGCACATCAACCCCCCTCCTCGGCCTTCACAGTATGGCTTCGCATAGGCCTCCCGACCCCCGCAACGGCGCAGTGATCAGGTCGGCCACCCCTGAAACGCCCTGGCCAGACCACGTGCTCCAGGCCCTACCAGCCGGGAAAATGAAAGCGCACCTGAGATGCGTCTGACCGGCTCGGCGGCAGGAAGAGTTAGGTCCTTCACCGCAGGGTCAGGGCCAGAAGGCGGAAGCGAGCCAGAGGCCGCACGTGGGTCTAAGTACCGCCCGGCTCCAAGTTCCTGCCGGCTCTGGAGCTCCCGCCCCCGGCTGGGCCCCCGCAGGCCTAGGCCTCGCCGCGTCCCCAGCGGAGCACCCCCCCCCCCCCCCCCCCCCCGCCCCAAGGTCGCCGGCTGCGGCTCGTGCATGCAGAGGCGGAGGGCGCGGCCGCCCCTCCCCGCCCGATGGCCGCTCCCGCGCCGGGGCCCGCGCCGGATTGGCCGCCCTCGCGGCCAGGTGAGGCGCCCCGCCCCTCGGCGGCTTCAGGTGCGGCGGTGGGACCGGGCCGCGGCCGGGCCGGGGCCGGGGCGACATGGCCGAGTCCCAGCTGAGCTGCCTGGACGAGACGCACGTGAACGAGAGGGTGACCGAGGCGCAGGCCGCCTTCTACTACTGCGAGCGGCGGCGGGCCGCGCTGGAGGCGCTGCTGGGCGGCGGCGAGCAGGCCTACCGCGAGCGGGTCAAGAAGGAGCGGCTGCGGGACTTCCTCTCCAGCCAGGAGCGGCAGGCCCTCCGCGCCGCCTGGAGCCCCTACGAGGATGTCGCCGCCGCCCCCCGGGGCAAGAGTAAGGCCAAGGCCAAGACCCCGGCGCAGGCCGCGGCCGAGTCCGGCGAGTCCCTGGCCTACTGGCCCGACCGCTCGGACACCGAGGTGCCCCCGCTGGACCTGGGCTGGACCGACGCGGGCTTCTACCGCGGCGTGAGCCGCGTCACCCTCTTCACCCACCCCCCCAAGGACGAGAAGGCGCCCCATCTGAAGCAGCTGGTCAGGCAGATGATCCAACAGGCCCAGAAGGTAGGCCCCCGCCCCTGCCCCTGCCCCGGCCACGCACATTGATGGGGACCCCCACGACCGACCCCTAGGACCAGGCCCCCCAACACCACTTCCGAGGCAAGGCCTGGGGCTGGCGGCCCGGACCACCCTCAGGAAAAGGGGTGCAGAACCCTCCCATCCGCCGTGGGGCTGCAGGGGAGAGCATGGATGTGTTTGGAGAATGACAAGGTGCTGGACAGTTGCTTGTCATTTTTACAGTGTCCAGCGCCGCTGGCTTGCTTCTGCTCTGCGCGTCTATGTGTCTGTCTGGTTTCTCTCTCTAGACCAGAGTGGGGGCTGTGGAGCCCTGTGGTAAAATGGGCCACTCAAAGGTCTTGATAATAACCTGTGTGCTTCCCAGGGATTTAACAAAACTTGTCCCTGATCATTTTCTCCTTTGATCCTCAGGCAATGGTAGGAAGTGTCGTGTGGCCTCCCCACCCCCACCGCAGCCACATTGCTCTTAGGAGGCACCCCCACCCAGAGTCAAAGCTGGCCTGGCCCCTGGCATTCACACTGGCTCTGCGCCCAGCAGTAGGGCTCAAGCAGCCTGGAATAAATGAAGGATGTTTCTTGACCACCTACTCTGTGCCTGACGCTGTGCTGGCCACTTTCACAGGGCAGCTCCCTAAACTCAGCAGGTCAGGGGAAAAGCTCCCACTTATCCCATCTACTTACTCTGCCAGGGCATTGAAAGGAGGAGACGTTTGCAGTGTCGCTGGTTAGAATACTGGTGGGGCCAGTAGTTTGTTGGGCAGAGTTTCCAGATAAAATATGAGATGTCCTGTTAAATTTGAATTCCAGAATAACAAGAAGAAATTGTTTAGCATTATACAGTATGATTCAAATATTGCATAAAACATACTGATGTTAAAAAGTCATTCACTGTTTATCTGAAAATCAGATTTAATGAGGGCATTCTGTGTTTATTTGCTAAGTCTGGTTCCCCTACATTGAGATTTGTTAAGAGACATCAGCAGCCTTTGGTACGCAGTTCAGAATATACAACAGAAGTGGCTTGGGTTCACCATTCTAATTCAACTAAAGAACTGTGGTTGGAATCCTGTTATCCCTGGAGGCTGAATTTGAGACACCCGTGGTGGGGCTCCTCTTCTGGAAGGCATGATGCAGGTAGTTGGCTAGATTGGCTGCTAGAAGGAAGGGTTAAGTTTTCACTGTCTGTGTTTCCACCCTCCCTCTCTAAAGAATCCCAGCTTGTCTGCCTGAGAGTTCTTTTGTCTATTGCATTCTGCAGAAGAGAAAGGCAAGTTTGAACAGAGGAGGAGAAAGGATGTGGGCGATGATCCTGTGTAGCAGGCTGGAGCTGGGGTCAGGGGTCAAGTCCTACGATGTAATACTAATAAGCCTTGATTTTTGAGTACTTAATGTGTGCCAGCCACGGTGCTAGTGATTTTCACAACTACTGAGTGAGATGGGTATTTTCCTTATTTTGGGACTCAAAACAGTTAAGTTACTTGCCAAGCCAAAATTCAAACACCGACGTGCTTCCTCTTAACCACAGTGCTGTCTGATGATGCAACAGGTTAAACCAAGGATCTTGAATGGAACTATCCTGATCACACTTGGGCAACAGGTTACAAGAAGGGAGAGACAGAGCCCTGCCCACTGGGACCTCTAGTCCCATGTGGGATGTTGGGAGTCTCCTAGGTAGTGGAGTGTTCTGAACTCTTTAAATATTTAACAACAGAAACTTTAACAACTGTGAACTGATCCAGTATTTACATGTTAAACCAGTTATTATTTCCTGAGTTCCAGGCACTAGCCATAGAAAGATATAAGCTGTGGCCTTTGCCCTCCAAGAGTTAAATGCTGCTGAGGGGATATGCTGTAAGGAAAACAGATTTTGAAGCTGGATATGCCCAATCTGGGAGGGCTTCCCAAGGGAGGTAAATTGCAGGGTTGAAAAGGGAGAGAGGAATCCGGAATGGAGGAAGAGGAAACTTAAGAAACTCTTGTTTCTGCTTAAGAGACTCAGGAGAGAAAGCTTTGTGCTTCAGATCAGCAAGCAGCTTTGAATGACAGGAGGGAAGAGCTATTGTGGTGACAGCTGAGTATGTGGGGGGGCCTGGCGCAAGGGTCCTAAAACTGGGTCCAGAGCAGATGACCGCCCCCCAGGAAGAAGCAGCTTCTGGTGCTATGTCCCAAACCCTCAGACTCTCTGGACCCTGACTCTTAATCATGACCACTCACCTGCATGTGGCACCTTCTTCCCAAAGATCTTGTGAAGTAGGCAGGGCAAAAGTTGACCCTCTTTCACAGGTGAAGAAACTGAGGCACAGAGAAGGAAAGAGGCTTACCCAAAGGTCATGTGGTTGGTCATGGAAACACTCAGATCCCCAGTTTCTACTCTGAAGGCTACACCTTCTGACCTTTGCCTGTCCCCACCCCCCCAACCCCACTCATCCTCAGCCAACTGGCACGGGGCACCCTCTGTGACTATTACTCTAGAGCCTTCCACATCCTTTTCACCCTGAGGGAGGGAATTTCCTTGTCTCCAGGGAGAGTCTGGCTGCTTCGAGGGCGGGTGGGATGGACCAAGATGATGTATGTGCAGAGATGCAGGGGACTGTTGCAGATATGGCTGGGGAGCAGCAGAAGGACATAATCCACAGGTCCACCTGGGCACCAGAGGATTTTATTTCATTTAATCCTCAATAACTTCATTAGGGGCTGTCATTTTTATTCCTCAGTGACGAACAGGAAACGGAGGCTCAGGGGGAGTGGCTGTGCCTTGCCCACAGGCACAGACCAGCAAGAGTTTTAAGCCTACGCCTCAGAGATGTGGAGAAAGGAGCCTGATTAAAAGACACTTGGAAAGCATGATTGGGTGGGAGGAGGCCTTTGAGTTGATCAGTCTGAAGTTATGTGCTCACTGGGCCTCTGCAAATGGCAGAACGCCATCCTGGCTGTACCGGATAGCCGGCATTCAGACATTCGGACTTGTTTCCTTGTCAAGCGGGGGTTTTTCCTGCTGTTTTAATACCCCTTATGTGATTTGCTATTTTTAGGGTCACTGTATGATGTACTTTGCTTGAAGTACAGGCTGGGACTTCCCTGGTGGTCCAGTTGCTAAAACTCTGCTCTCCCAGTACAGGGGGCCCGAGTTCCATCCCTGGGCAGGGAACTAGATCCCACATATTACAACTAAAGATCCCACATGCAGCAACTAAGAGCTGGTGCAGTCAAATTAATTAATTAAGAAAAAATTTTTTAATAAAGTATAGGCAGAAAGGGTGCCTTCTGGAACCCAGAAGTGAGCCCATGGTCTGTCTCCCACTGGCAGAGGGGACCAAGGAGCTTGCTGCCACTTGGGTTGCTATGACCACTGTAACCCAGGGAGTGGGAATGGGGGCCTGGACTTAAAGCGAGACCACGTGAAGACAGGGAAATGGTTGGTTCTTATTCACAAGGGCAGAGCTGAGAGGACCAAACAACTGCAATTTGGAAGGATAGTGAGTTGGGTCGTTGGACAAATATTTCAAGGTGTGCTAAGCACTTTAGTAGAAAACAGACATATAAAATGCACCTCTGCTCTTAAATGGCCTAACAGTCTACTAAACTATCATTTTAATACAGACTAATGAGTGCTTGACAGAAGGCGTGGTGGGGGGCCCTAACCCAGCCCCCGAGCCATGTGAGGGGAGGACTTCTGATGCTGCCGCCTATCTACGGGCGAGTCTGAGCGCAGCAGACAGGATGAGACCGCGCAGCACATCCACCCTTCTTGGCACCCCGGCTCCCTTCCGACCAGCAGCACCCATTTTTGAGGCTACCGGGCAGGTTTAGAGAATGCTGCCTGTGCCTCGGGAGCAGAGGAAAGCTTAACCACCTCGAAGACTGACCCTTGGCCCTTGCCTTCCTGGGCCCCACACTCCAGGGTACCAGCTACCTGGCTCCTGCTTGCTCACCACAAGCCCCTCCCCGAGCATTTCCTCTGAGCCTCAGTAACCATGTCAGTATCAGTAGCCATGTCAGGCAGATAGTATCTCCCTTTCACAGGGGCAGCCTCTGAGGTCCAGAAAGGTGTGATGACTTGTCTTCAGAAGAGGGGATGACAGCTCCCCCAGGTCCAGTGATCAGAACTCCCAGTGACCCCGCATAAACATAAACCCAGCCCCGGAGAGGGCGGGATGCAGGGCCAGGCAGCTTTGGTGAACCGAAGCCTCTGCTCTCTGTTCTGGCAGCAGCGGGGAGGGGCAGGCCCACCTAGTTGGTGGGAGGCAGAGGGGTGTGGGGAGCAGGCCTGGCCGTACCCCCATCTCTGCCTGTCAGCGGTTTGTCCCCTCCCTTCAGGGCCTGGCTCAGAGGCCGCCGCTTCCTTGGCACTCAATCAAAATTTTCAATCCAGAAGTGACTTTTTGTTCCCAGATGTGGCTCCTTGTTTGTGCCACCTGTGTGCCTGGCACAGGGCTCTCTTGAGGAGAGCCCATCTGATCCTCAGAGACCAGAAGCTTTGGAAGAGCCGGGACTTCCTTCCTACACCCTCTCCATTGTCTTTGTGGAGCCCCAGCAGCACAGGTGACCAGTGGTTTGTTTAACTGATTGGAGACTATCTCCCACTGGCCCCCAGCCCCTCTCCATCCCTCTAGGGAAGTCTGCAGAGGCTCCAGTTGAACTGCACATTGCTAAGGGTCTCCATTAATCCTCCTCATATCAAGCCACCTGGCAGCAGAGGGAAGAGTGCTCTAAACTGGGGGGAGGGATGCAGAAGGGCTCCAGAGCAGAAGGCACGGTTGGCCAGGTTAGCAGGCTTGCTTAGAGGTCTGGGTAGCCGATAGGCGAGAGCTGTTGGGCATACATGCCCAGGGGGTACGGCTCACTTCACCAGGAGGCTCAGCTTGGTGGGTAGCCACCTTTGCCACTGTCTTTCCCCGTTAGCCTCTATCAGCTCTTCCTCTTTCAGGTACATCCAGCAAATAGTACACAGCATCTTTTTTGTACCAGGCACTGTGCTGGGCACT